ATCCTCAAAAATTAAAACAGAAACTAAAATAGCGAGACAGAGAACAAATGCCTTGGGTGCCAGCCCTGGCTCTCTTGTCTATTTGCATCTCTTTGGGAATGGTTATTTAAGCTCTAAGGACTTTTGTTTTCTTATCTAAAATATGGTTAATAGCAATTCCCTACCTACCTAACTGGGTTATTGTGACTATCAAACAGACCCTTATTAAATAGATGAAAATGCAAAGTACTTCAAAATAAAATTCTGTACAAGCACAGTGAGTTCCCTTGATTCATTCATGTTTCTTTCCTCAGCTAAGATACCTGTTTCCAGGAAATTGAAAAATAAATAGCTTTGCCAGACTTGGTTTGGCATGCAGAAGTTTGAGCAGGACTGGCCAGAGAGCCATGGAGCCTGCCAGACCAATGTTGCTTTTTAGTTTGCTCCAGATGCCTGTGGTTAGCAGCTCTTGGAGGGCACCTGGCAGGGTGCAAAGTCCATAGAAACAAGTGGCAAGGCAGGATGAGCTGGAAACTCGGCAGATCTGGAGATATCAATGGGAACTTCTGAGGTTTTCTTCTGTATTTTGGCCATTCACTTTAGGAAAAAACCCTATAATTTGCCTACACTTCTGTAATGTGAAGGTCATGTTTGTGTGTGCATAAAAGTGTGTGTTTTCTAATTTACTGTTTTGGGGCAGGGACTAGGATAGGGGAGTATAAACAGACTTCTTAATGGTTTTTATCCCAAATAATCCAGCCTTCTCAGGTAGAAATTATTTTTAAATGTGTGCTCGTGGGTAATTGGCCCAATTTTATTTAGAAGAGAACCTCACAGTCTTGGCATGAACTGAACCTACATGTGACCATTCTGTTAAAGCAAGTTGAAGCAAGACTTTTCAGGGCTGTGCTGACTCAAGGCTGTCAGAACCACCCCCACCCAGGTCAATCTGGCCTTTTCTCTCTAGGTTTATAATCTTGCCCACGTTTCCATGTACTCAAATGAATGTGACAGAACCGTTAGGTTCCAGCCACACTGACTGAAGATGCTCCATTTAAACAGTTTCAGCTTTACAGTAGAATTGCTGGTGAGCCATTTAAACCAAACTCAGAGGTGCTGTTGGAATTTACATGCTGGCTTTATGGCTGCTGAGGCTGCAGCCAATTCAGACCTCTTACCCGGTACCACCATTTTAGCCCTGGGGTCCCTCAGGTGGGAGTCATGACTACAGAAGAGTTCTTCAGACACCTAGCCTTCATGGCAGAGGTGCCAGAACACTGCAGGGACCCCTGGGACAGAGCCCACCTCTTTCAGCACCACTTAGAGAAGCCCAGAGTGGGAGTTTATAGGCATATCCCAGGGAGAAAACTAGAATGGGCAGGGATGGGCATACCTGGCACCTTTGCTCAGCCTCACTATCAGAGAAATCATGTATCACGCTATGGGGAAGAAGGTGAGGGCAAGGAAGAAGAGCAGATGACTTTTGCCAGTCCTTCTAATGGTAGAAATTCCTCTTTAACAAGTCAAGGTAGGAATGCTTATTGGAGGAGAAAGTGTTTCCATCTACATTATCTACCACAAGATAACAGTCTTTCCTATGGCCTCTCTGGCCAAGTCCCAAATCCATCCCCTGCCCCTATACTGTTGTTGGACCAAGGGACACATAGCATTCACATGACATTTCAGGGAGTAGGTAATATGCTTTGATCTTGGTAAGGTGTTAGACTGAGTCTTTCAAGATGCCCTTGTGGTGGTTATAGCAAAATGGGTGATGGGTTTACAGTGTGGGTGACACTCAACTTCAGCAGGTCATTGTTAGCTTGAGAGAGGGGGTATGTGGAAGGGACAGAACACAGAGCCTTTGCCTGCTTAACAGTGTTACTACAGCCCTAGATGACAGTGCAAAAGGAAGTTGTAACCAAGCCAAAGATCTTCTGCCATGTGTTTGTACAGATTATTTGAGCCTGAACATAGATTTTTGCAGCACATTGGAAAACCATGCTCAGTGGATCACTGTCAACATGAGCGAGCAGGGCATGATGATTTCCCCTGTTACAGTTCATCCTCCTAGTTTTGGTGCATTCTTGTTAGTAAGGATTATTTGAGATTTTAGTTTATCATCTGTTTAACCAACACCAACATATAACAGCTATTGAGTGCTTACTCTATGTCATTTCTACAAAGAATATCTTGGGGACTTGGTGACCCCAAACTCAGGCTTGACTGCCATTGCAACATTGGAAATAGAGCAGAACTGTAAAGAGAGAGTTAAGTAGATGTGGACTCAAGCCCTGGCTCCATTAATTGGTTAACTGTGGGAATCATTTAACCTTTCTAAGACTAGTTTCCTCATCTGTAAAGTGATCATGATAATGATATCTGTGTCAACCCGTTTATACACATGTGTATACAAATATGTGTTTATATATACTTAATACAGTGGCTGGTGTATAGACAACACTCAGTAAACATGGATACGACTGTGGAGAGTGTTAATGGAGGCCTGAGCTCCAAGTGGTCGGAGAAGGACCTGATCTGACTCTGTCAGAACACAAAAGAATTCCTGTGCTGAATCATAGAGGCATTCACACATTACCGGTTGAGCTAAGACTCTCAGGAGACTGTGGGTATACCTCAGAATCACTTGGAGATTGGATGCTACTCCTCCAGCCAGAACAGCTCCCCTGTTATCTACTATATACAGATAGAGAATGTATGTGTGCATGCATCCATCTCTGTGTATGGGTGTGTGTGTCTTTCTCCCTCAGAGATTCTCAGTTGAGAAGGATCTTGTTCCAAGGGGACATTTGGTGATATCTGGAGACATTTTTGATTGTCACAATCTGGGAAGGGGGACAGATCGCCACTGGTGGTTGGAGACCAGGGATGCTGGTAAACATCCTGCAGTGCACAGGACATTCCCTCACAACAAAGAACAATCCACCCTCAAATGTTGGTAATACTAGGTTAAGAAAGCCTGCTGTATGTGTATGTTAGGGCAGGGGGCGTTGGCACATGATTTCTATTTGGCAAGAGTCTAGGAAAAAAAATGGAAAACCATGGTTATATAGTGCATCTGGAAAGAACTACCTGATTGCTGAGTAATCTGAAAAACTGCATCCCTTAAGAATGGTGGGAGAACTGAGTATAAGCCTGAGTCAGCTGAGGGTAGAGGGAAGAACTGTCTGCCGAGAGTGAAAAAACACCATCCACATGGGTGAGGTATCTCAGGGTTCTGGGTTGCTCCATGCCTAACAGGATGATGACACAGGAAAGTCATTTTGGCCAGGATCTTTGAAGAGATCCTTCCTGAGGTTAGAGAAGCCAGACTGCCATGGGGTGGGATGGACAGCTTGCCATGGAAGTATGATCCAGAATGATTTTATATCAGTAAAATGGTTGCTATTATGACAGCTGGATTTTAGAAATTCAGATCTGTTAAAGAAATATACATTGTTTCAAGCGATCGCCTGTTTCCCACCACTACACATTGACTGAAAGAGGGCAGCGAGACCTCATCTCTACAATAAATCAAAATGAGCTGGGCGTGGTAGCACGCGCCTGTAATTCCGGTTACTCGGAAGGATCGCCGGAGCCCAGCAGGTCGAGGCTGCAGTGGTCGGGAGCGGCCACTGCACTCCAGTCTGGGCAACAGAGTGAGACTCCAACTCAAAAAAAAAAAAAGAAAGAGGGTGCTCTCCCGGGCACCTGGAGCTGGCCTTTTGACATGAGAGCATCATTGTAAAACTAGCCTGCATCTCATCCAGTCCATATGCTACTTGAGGGTTATTTTCTGGTTCCAGATCAAGTTTAATATTGATCTGATCATATTTTTCCTTACCAACAGGATCTGATTAGGTAACCCTTTAGGTCACTAGTGAGAAATTGACTTTAAATATTGGGGTGAGTTGCCATTTTTATTGCTGTTTTTATAGATCAGAAAGCTAGATATTAGCAATGCCTTGTGTTTCAACCTGCTACAGGATTGAAAGTGACAATTTATAATTTATATATAGATTATTTTATGTCCTTCCTAGAGGAACTCTGTACAAATGCCTGCATCCCTGTGCAAAGCTCTGGAGAAACTTGGCATCTCAGGCTAAGCTTCTACCTATGTCCTCATCAAGCAGCACTCTCCAGGAGCCATGCCTAAGCTGGCACACCTGTAATGGAGCTTTCCCAGCAGGCATAAGACAAGCTCCTGTGTTTTAACAAAGTGCTATTTCCCTGAGTGGCTGATCCTCACCTTTTACATCTGCCCACTGGGAGAAGAAAAATTATTTTAAACCTAAGAACCTCCAGAAAGCATCCCCCATCTCCATCTCTTGGTTGACTTTGTTCCTCAGCATCTAAAAAGGAACTGGGAACCTTGAAGACAGGATACAAAGTGAAATAAGCCAGATGCAAAAAGACAAATACTGTATGAATCCACTTATATGAGGTACCTGGAATAGACAAATTCACAGAGACAGAAGCTAGAAGGTTAGTTACCCGGGGCTAAGGGCAGGGGGAATGGGGAGCTAGTGCTTAATGAAGATGGAAGGTGGTGATGGTTGAACAACAATATGGATGTTCTTAATGCCCCGAACTGTGTGCTTAAAAATGGTTAAAATGGTAAATTTTATGTTATGTATATTGTATCGCAAATTTTTTAAAAAGGAGCCAGCTTGTCTATTGTCATATGCTGAAGTCAGACCCAACCCTGATGTTCACCTGAAAAGAGGAAGTGGGAAAATGCCTAATACTCCATCATTATGTTGTCATCAAACCTAAATGAGATTAGGATATGGTATCACCAGCTGGGCTTCTTAAAATATTTCCCTCTCCACCACGATCATCTTATAGAGACCATATGTTCCTGTTGGGGTGAGAGTTAGTGATTTTTGAGTGTGTGCAAAGCCCTACATTTGTTCCTCTGGAAGGATGAAATTGTTCAATTTCTTAGAACCAGGTGTTTAAGGAGCAGAGAAGTCTGTGGCCAGGCTCAGTAGTCATCTTATGGCATGTTTTTGGTTTTCCAGGACAACTTCAAAAGCATATCCACAGTCTCCAAAGACAGTGAAGCCTCCATACCTAGGGTCGCCTGTGAAGTACCGCTTACCTGCTCTTCCCAGCCAAGAAACACCCAAGAAGAAAGCAGAGAAAGAGAAGAGCAACAAGGAAAGGGAAGGTGTCTTGGCTCAGCAGGCTGCCAGCCTGCATGGAGAGGAAGTCCCAGAGAAGCACGTGGCTGATAAGCATGCCAGTGAGAAGCATGCTGCTGCAGGAAACAAGACTGAGAGCAATGCAGGTAGACCTTCGTTGACACTGCCACCTGGCCTTGGCTTTCCCAAGGTGGTTCTCCCTCTGACCTGATCCACATGCCATTCTCTAGTGTTTGGGGAGTGAAAAAGATTTTTCCCTGGAGACAACTTTATTTACTTGTACAGCTTTCTCAAGCTTGCACATTGCTCCTGATTCCCTCAAAGTCTCCTGAGAGTCCCCTGGAGGGGATGTAGGGGCTGACTTGGACCATGACTGTGGAAGCTCCTGGGGATACAGACAGGCTGCATCCAGCCAGAATCTGCACTTCCCCCCAAGAGGGTCTTCCTTTACTCCTTCAAGCTTCTATGATGCAGTGAGTTCACCCAGATAGTGACTGCTCTGGGACTTGCTGAGGACCCTGTCTCAGCTCCTCACTTTTCCACTGCCTTCCACCATGAAATGCATCCAGGGTCACAGCTGGCCCTTCGCAGCTTCTCTTATTCAGTGACTATGAGTGCTAGGTCTAGCAACATTTCCCATCACTACATTGGGTTGAATTTTTTCATTTCCAAATGGCAGCTGCTGTGTGAGTGGAATTCTTATGTTTGTTTCCCTTGATCTTCTCCTGTTGACGCCTCTCCTCTGGTGCAGCCTCAGGGAAGCCCACAGCAGGCACCACTGATGCAGAAGAGGCTGCAAAAATCCTGGCTGAAAAGAGAAGACAGGCCCGGCTGCAAAAGGAACAGGAAGAGCAAGAACGACTGGAGAAGGAAGAACAAGACAGGTATGTGGATGCTCAGGGTTTCGACTTGATCTCGTGTAAAGATTGTGTTGGAAAGAGCAACTTGCCTTTCTTTTTACACTTTTGGTATTGATACAACCTGAACCGAAGTATGGGAACCTAGAATGCCTGAACTGCATGGAAAGTGTTCAGAAGACTGCATCTTCTATTAGATGTAATTAACAACAGAACTTTGCTCTTGTCAGAGGACCTGGAAACTTCTAGCTCCTGGATCTAAATGGTACAGGCAGCTTCCCATTCTTCTCTTGCACTTTGAGACCAGGCAGGCCTCCTAGGACAGTCATGGGAGTTTGGGCTTTGTTTATAGAATGAGATTCTCCCTGGGAGGTCAGGAGGTTCTAGATTTTGGTTCTGGTCTCGATTCTGATTCCCAAATTGTTTTCTCCCTCAAATTATCCTAGCTCACAACCCAGAGTTAGAGAGAGCTGAGAGATGAGCAGGTTCCCCTAGATATGGGGTAGGCTGGGGGGCAACCTCATAGTCCGTGAACAATGAGGTATGGGGAAGCCCATCCTGGAGCAAGACAAAAGACATCATTGCAGTAGACTCTGAACTTTGGAAGGTATCAGAATTATCCAGGAAAACACAGTGAAAATACCCAGGTCCAGACCCTGTCATGTCTCAGTTGACAACCACTGCAGTGTTAATACCAGGGCACATTGTCACCACACAGACAGTCCTGCTTTTTCTGATCTTTGTGTTCAGAGAGGAATGCATATTGAAGGATATGGTAGATTTTATCATTAAATGGATAAAAGGAGCTGTTAGGCTAATTACAGAGTACAATCCAGTACTGTTGAGATAATTAACATGATGGGAAGCAAGTGATGCCATAGCACTTCATGGCCAGCATTGAATTTAGAATAATAAATAATAGAATATTCTTTATCCTGTAGTGACCTTGGTAAGTCTTTGTGGTCTCTGATTACAGGCTTGCTGATCTATTTTTTTTTAAGGGATTAGGGGCAGGTCTAGGTCTAGCTGATCCTTTCTTCAGATTCTGGACTTTGATCTTTTTCCCACCTCTAGCCTTCTGGTCAATATGGATTTTTGGGGGAGGGGGTCAAGTGGTGTGTTTGGACTAGTTTGGGTGGGCCTTAAAGTGTGTGAAAGGAGATTGCAGGAGATGAAGATGAATCGCAGGACCTCAGATGGCAGGTCTTGATATTTACAGGCGTTGGAGATACCTGCAGACTCTGACCTGGTGAGTAATGATTGTAGCTGTGTGCTTAGGAAGGTGAAGTTCTTTATCTTCTAGCGACACCTCTCTCTGTGTGTGTGTATGTGTGTCTGTCCATCTGTGCCTGCCTGCCGCCCCTTCTCATTTTCTTCATGGCCCAGCTCCTGAAATAATCGATTAAACTTCCTATTTTTATTTCCTCAACTCACAATCAAGTCTTCAAACCTCACACCCACCATTCCTCCTCATTGTCCGACTCCTAATCAATTTCTTGGTCGAGCTTGCCCTTACTTCTGTGGCCTCTTCTTCTCAGGTTCCTCTGTCCACTTCTCATCCCCTTAAATGTTGCCTGGGCTCTCAGACCTCAGTACTCTATCAGCTTCTCTTCTGACAAGCCCTCCTAAAACAGTGTTGCTGCTTCCTGCTCTGCTAGTGTCCCTGTCATGCTGCCAGTTTTCTTTGACTTCAAAAGATTTAGGGCCCATATTTCACACAATGGTTTTTATGTTAAGCCTTTGAGGTGTGAAACCAACTCTGCTCTCATCTCCATTTCTACATTCATTTTCCCTTTGCCTAATTTTATCACCAGTTTATGAAGCTCATTGCAACTTGTAAACCTTCCATGCTTTGTGGAACAAAGGAGGCACTAAATAACACATGCATACTGATGACTCCTGAAACTGTGCCTGTGGCCTGGACTCTGTCTAGTGCTAGGCTGTCCAGTATCAGAGTCTCTAGGCCCATGTGGCTACCAAAATGTTCATTCAGTAAAATTCAGTTCCCTAGTTGTCAGGTCCAGGCTTCATCAGCTGTTGCATTAGCACCTCTGTTCTCTTCTTTCCTCTTCAGCCTCTCTTAACTCCTGCCTGAGCTCTAGCCCCTGTTGCCTCTGACTTGGACTGTCTGTGTCATGCCAACTGAACTCACTGCTCTAGGTCTCCCAGAGTTTGTCCCATGTCTGCACTGGGTCCACAGTGACCTTTCTCAAATAAATGTGGTCATTCTGCTCCTGTTCTTTAACAAGCCAATGACTTCCCTGCCCACAGGATCCACCCAACCCCATCAGTAGGACTTCAAGACCTGCCATGAACTGGCCACTGCTGCCTCTTCCCCTGCTTCCCTCAGGCACCAGCATGCAAACCTCCCTGACATTCCCCATCACATGGCTCCACACCTCCAAAGCTTTGCTTTTACTGTACCCTCTTACTGTGCTCCTTCTTGCTAGGCACCTCATCCTTTCTTAAAATGCAGGTCAAACCTCTCTCCCTTTCTGTAGTCTTTCTGGCTCTGTGCCTGGGAGAGAACTGACCGTTTCTCACTCTTCAACATTACTGATGCCAGCTGTTCAGCTAACTAACGTAGCCTCATTTGTTTACAGGCCTGTTTCCCCCAGTTAGCACCTTAAAAGGCTGGGATGTAGTCTTTAGATCACTGGTGCCTGGTGCTATGTACATTTGTACAAGAAAGGAAGAGAATGAGGAAGAGGCCCAACTAAGAAATTATCTCAATAGTAGGTTAAGAGAACACAAGAGCTAAAGTCGTATGGTGAAGGCAGACCTAGAAAAGTGAGTCTGTGGACTTGTACAACTCAAAATAAATGGGCATATTTGAAGTTGATGCTAAAGTTTGATTACAAGGCCTAAAGAGAACGGTATGCCTAATAACAGATAAAGAAAGGACATGAGGAATTGGTTTTAAAGGATAAAATTATCCATTGGATTTTAGTTAAACTTAAGTTTAGAGTGCCTGGAAAATACCAAGTGATTGGAGATGGAATTGAAGCCTGAGGCCTAGGTAAAAATGACAGCAAAACACTTGACCCAAAATCAGTTTTCCTCTCTCTTGCCAGAACATGAAGTTTTGCATAGTACCATGTGGGAGGTGAGAAAGGAAAGTACCAGACAACATGGGGCTGGAAGACAGCGGACACCTATTGGAATAAGATCTTCCTCACATCTGTTTTGTTCTTAGGGTCAATAGTTAAAGCCACAGAAATGTAGTAGCCATATGAGAGAATATAGAGAAAAATAAAGATACTTGAGCCAAACCATGGAAAGCCCAATTATTACCACAAACTGGTGAAGGAAACATCATTCAAGTCAGGGATTGGGAAGACTACTGGAATGAAAGGGCTGACCAGGAGTCTAGACAAGTAGCCCCTAAGAAGAAGAGCAAAAGCTGGTCCAATCCCACACAGAAAAGGGCCCAGGCCCAGGATGCAGATGACCCAAGATGTAAAGTGAGATTCTTGGACTTGGAGTGCCTAGAAACCTTAAACCCCCAGTCTACTCTGGTGAAGGCACTGGCAGAAACTAGCATACAAGGGCTCTTACTGGGATTCCAAAATGGATCACATTAAGTCATGTTAAGAAGCTAAAATATTTGCCAGGGTCCCACATAAAATAATATTTCAGTAAGGTAGCCCCCACGAGCAAGGTCATGTAGCCAAGCTGGAGCTCAGTGTCCAAGCAAGAATTAGCCCTGGGCCTGAAACTGCAGGCAGAGGTCCTCAGGGCTGCTCAGACCTGGCTTCTCACTGAGTCTCCCAAGTGGCGGGTTGTTTTGTTGAGAGTTAAGGCAGGCAGGGGCCCATTTGACAGGGGGCAGCAGGGTGTGGCAGCGACTGAAATAGGAAGGGAGAGCCAGGTAGGATGGAGCCAGTGCCATGGAATCTCACAAGGTGCAGGGATATAGAGAGGGCCTCATGGGAGGGACTTGTGACACTGTTGTCACCTGCAAGCCATGTCAAGGCTGAGGAAAGGCTGTTGGTCTTGAGGTTTAGGAGATGAGCAGAGATTTTGGAGGGACATTGTTGAGAACAGGTGTGGAGACCAAGCAGCCTGAAGAGGTGAGAGATGGAGGCCCTGAATGTAAGCTGGGCATCAAGCAGTCAGAAATGAGAGGCAAACAAGAATGGACCAAGGAGGGTTGCTTGGGATGCCTGAGACCTGAGCATTTTTGCAAACCATGGAAAGGTACATGTAGTGCAAGGGTGAAATTGCCAATGAAAGGAAGAAGAGCTAGTGGGAAGAGCACAGCTATAGGAGGGTGTGGAATTCACAGCACAAGTGGTGGTGTTTACAATCTCTTGTATCTAAGAGGAAGAAAAGGGGAAATTTCTAAGGAGTAGTGTCACAGACAAGTTTAAGTAGCTCAGATCACATGGCCTTGGGCTTCTCTGTAGAGTAGTTGGTGATGCCATCAGCTAAGGAGATCGATGCTAATTGAGAAAAGGTGGCAATTTGGACTATGTCCACAAGGGATCCAGGGGATAAAGATTAAGAGGCTGAAATGTGCAAGCTGAGGTTAAGGAGCAGATGACTGACCAGACTTGTTTGCGCCTTTCTCTAACCAATGCTTGGCAGGCCAGGAGGAGCATGAGTGGATGACAAGAACAGAGAGGGTGACGACTGCACACAGGTCTGGTGAACTCTGAAGGGAACTTGGTAATGATGGCAAGGGCAGTGGGCTGGGGGTGGACCCCAGCAGAGGGCCAGTGAGGAAAATAGTGAAATCTAGTGTGCTCCCTGGTTCCTTAAACAGAGAGACAAAGAATCTTCATCATTGGGGGGGATTATGAGGGACCCAGTTTCACATGGGGAGCCTGCTTTTTATTTTTGCCAGTTTTTACCTACCTTTGGGAAGCAAAGTGTGGTTGAGGGAAGGAATTTTGTATGTCAGAGGACGAGATTTCCATGGAGGCATTTTGGAAAGGACAAGTAGAGGCTGATGAGCCTGTAGAGAAGGATTTATGTATTGGGTAATAATGAGAATTGTGGAGATTTAGGGGCTTTAACAGTGATCCTATGTGTGTGTACATCTGGGCGCCTCTGAAGCCCTGATGGTAAAAATGGAAGAGACAGAGTGGATTTGGGGATCCTGGCGATGAAGATTACAGGTCCTTTATGAAGTAAGTTATATATTAATTCATATACAATGTATCCTTTGTGTATTAACTTCTCTGGAACAATCTCAACTGACTCCTCAAAAAAGGGAAAAGAAATGAAGCAGTGCTCTGATTAACCTTTAAATACATCTTGTTGGAAACGTCCAGTTTTTGTAATTCTGTGTTGGACATACTTAGTCTTTCATTGAGGAAACTAAAAACGGGAGCTTCTTTCTGATTAGGTTCCATAATGCTCTTGAAAATCTGTTAATAATTTCAGTTGTTTCACAACACTTTTAGACACTGCAACCTCTGCCAATATAGAGTATGCTAGCATGTATTGTGACAATCTTGGGTTAATTTCTTTAAATATTTCTTTACCTTTTAAAATATGTCTTTGGAAAAATAAATACATCAAATATTTCTTTAGTGATACATAGGCTATTAGCCTTCACGATTTCTGAAACTGACCATTAGGATGGAAGGATGCTCTTTTTAAGTCTTGTTCTTTTTAATAACAATTTAACAGCACTCCAATAAGCAGTGGCACATACTTCCAAACAAAGGTAATTTCTAAAAGATATATAGATGCACTTAAAAGGATGTCTGGGATTGCAGGGGGCATTTATTTTAAATTGTAAAACAAATTGACATTTGAGAAACTTCTGGGGCTAGGCAGTCCTATGTATTATCTCATTTAATTCCCCAAATAATACCATGGGGCAGTAGTATAGCTATTACCATTTTTGATAATGGGTATCAGGAATGTTAGGTGACTTTCCAAATGTCACATAGCGAGTGGCACAATCAGAATGCAATTTGTGTCTTGCCCATGTGTCACATTGCCAGTGATTACCTAAGGAAAGTGATGCACATGTGAGCAGGAAGAATATTAGAAATGTTTAGACAGGTCCTTGGGCTTTACAGAATTTACCTTCACTGCTTAGAGTTTTTTATCACATCATGATCCATTCATCTGTGGATGAAAATGTCTAAATGCCACTGAATTTTCATATATTTTCCATTTATTTTGGCAATGTTTAGAAATCTATTTTGGCAAAGAATAAAAGCCAAAATAGATTTCTAAACATTGCCAAAATAAATGGAAAATAGATGTTTAATTTCAGTATTAAACATCAAGTTTCTTAGAGCATTTTCTTCCATTTGCTGCTTCTGAAGTCACATATCAATTAGAATTCAAAGTGCCACCGCTCTTAAATTGCTGGCTGGCATATTTGTGACCAATGAGACACTTTCCATTTTTTCTAGTTTTAGTTGGTTTTAAATATTCTGCTTAGTTTTTTTTTCAAGAATTATCATTAAATAAGAATGATGAGGCTTGGCTTCCTCATCATGGTCATTTGTTGATTGACTAAGGAGCATCTGTGTCTTCACTACAGTACACTTCACACATCAATACATTGTTAGTCATTGTATTACAGAATTGAAAGTCAAGCCTGGTTAATATTTTTGTGGTAAATATACAGACCAGAGTGGATTTCCAGGAAGGATGAGTCATTTTATTAAGTGGATACTAATTGAAATGTGTGTATTTGTTAACATGTGGAGCATTTCTCTCTGCTGTCAGCACACAGTTTCTTGACAGTTTGCCCTTCGAGCATGTTTTCTAACAACACTTATGTTCTCAAAAGGCTGGAGAGAGAGGAATTGAAAAGGAAGGCAGAGGAAGAAAGGCTTCGTCTACAAGAAGCAGCTTGTAAGCAGGAAGAAGAAAGAAAGCGGCAGGAAGAGGAAATGAAGCAGCAAGAAGAGGAAAAGAAGAGGCAAGAAGAAGAAGAAGAGAAAAGGAAGGCAGGAGAGGAGGCCAAGCGCAAGGCTGAGGAGGAGCTGTTGAAACAAAAGCAAGAAAAAGAAAAGCAGGAGCAAGAAAAAGCCATGATTGAAAAGCAGGTACTTTATGAGTCCTCAGATGGATTTTCCTTGTTTTTTAAGGACTTAATAATTAATATTTTGTAAAATTAGTTAAATTTGAATGACTTGTAATTTTTTTTGAAGGCTAGTTATTAAATATAAAGTTACTTGGGGCAGTCACAGTGAAATTGGTAATGTTTGCCATCTGTCAGCCTGGGTTTCCTTAAAGGCAGACACTTGGGCAGGAATTTCAATGCCAGTAGATTACATGGAGGGGATCCCAAGAAGCTGGTCGGGGAATGGAAGAAAAGCCAATATAAGTACATTGATGCGTGTGTTACTGTGGGCAGCTAGAACTCAGTCCCTTTGGGACCCTCTGAGAGACTGTGGATCATGCCCTAGAATTGTCCCTCTAAGGTATGAGGAAACTGGACTCTTCACCAACTTCTGCCCCTCATTGTGAAAGACCACTCCTCGAAGAATTAACTCTCTGAAACTTCTGGTCATATGCACACATCATGGATAAAACCTGCTCACACTGACAGACCTTGGCCACAGCATGTAAACTGTCTGCGGGTGATTTGTATAGTGGACTGAGGGTGCATTAACGAGGCCTAACCATGTCTGCTGTGTCATAGAATATGTTGTATAAAGTCATACTGAATATTGGAGCAGCATTCACTTCACAGTGGATGATGAGATTAAGGAACATGTGCAAAGCCCAGGGGATTACTACACTGTTTTCTTAGCTTAATAAAGCTTATGCCTTGATTTACCTGTTTCTGTCAGAAAGAAGCAGCAGAAGCAAAGGCCCAGGAGGCCGCTAAACAGATGCATCTAGAAAGAGAACAGATCATGCTGCAGATTGAGCAGGAGAGACTGGAGAGGAAGAAGGTAGGTAAGGGCTAAGGGATCAGGAGGACTTAGGTTAAGGCAGGAATCGGAAGTGAAACCAGTTCTGTTTTGCAGTGATTGGGTAGAGTGCTCTAAGAATTGTCAGTTATGTGAAGTTCATTGATAATGCTGTTCAAATCTATATCTTTATTAGCTTTTTGTCATCTTGTTCTACCAGCTATTGATAGAAGAGTATTAAAAGCTCCATCCTCCTGGGCATGGTAGCTAGTGACATTAGTCCCGACTACTCAAGAGGCTGAAGCTGAAGGATCACATGAGCTCAGGAGTTTGAGACCAGCCTGGCAACATAGCAAGAAAAAAAGTTTTAAATTATCTGGGCGTGGTGGCATGTGCCTGTAGCCCTAGCTACTTGGGAGGCTGAGACAGGAGGATGGCTTCAGCCCAGAAGTTCGAGACTGCAATGAGCTATGATCATCACACTGCACTCCAGCATGGGTGACAGAGCAAGACCCCATCTCTTAAAAAAAACAAAAAACAAAAAACTCCATCTGTGAATATGGATTTGCCTCTTTTTCTTTTTAGTTCTCAGCTTTTGTTTTTATACATTTTGAAGCCCTGTGGTTAGGTGAATATACATTTCAGATTGTTAAATTTTTCTCTTGAATAGGCCCCTTTTCATGGAATGTCCTTCTTTATCTCTACTTTGGCAGCCTTTTTATTATTGTTGTCTGCATGGTAAATTTTTCATATCCTTTAACTTTGAACCTCTGTGTTCTTATAAATAGCATATAGTGAAGACTTATTTTAATACTGTTTGACAATCTTTGTCTTTTAATTGGAGTGTTTGGTCTATTTACACTTAATGTATTTACGGATAAAGTTGAATTTAAGGAGACTGATTATAAAGGTTCATTCTCGTGGTGACCTAGGCCCAGCCTGGGCCTTGTCTTTCAATAGGCCTGGAAGCCAGGAGACCAGCCTGTGGCTTTCCCTCCTGAGCTGCATCTCAACTGCACTTTCTGTAGGGTGGTCCTCTTTAATGGTGGGTAGTGATCTGTTGATTTATAGGGAACTTAAGGAAAAGAAGGAGAAGATGGGATATAAATTGAATGTTGATTCTAGATATGCACTAGTTCACTTCTCAAGCATTTGACCTTGTTCATAGGACCAGAGGAGTACATCTGCAAAACCAATGGCAAACCCTTCTCGTCTTGTTATCCTCAGCTGACATTTCTTTTACGAGTTTTCTGAGGCGTGTAAAATTGCATGTAGACCCAGCTACTTTTATATATTTCTTTTATATATGTCTTACCAGTCCTCTTTACTTGATTCTCTTTGATTTCCAGAGAATAGATGAAATCATGAAGAGAACACGGAAGAGTGATGTGTCTCCAGAAGTGAAGGTAGGAATTCAGATGACCATTTTAATAGTTTATGTAGAGTAGAAAAGAACAGCAGAATGCATTCAGTGAAATTGTAGGTCTCAGAGAAGATTAGCCAGACAAAATGGACTGTTCCTGCTTTGTTCCTAGCTAAATTAAGGAGGTTGTAGCTATGTGAAAGGAAAGAGGAGTTTCAGATATGGGGCAGGTAAAAGATTTCCTTAGAGCAGTGGGGGCAGGATGCAGGGAAAGGCATAGTAGTTCATGAATTAAAAGAGAATTGTGACATAACAATAAGGGAAACAGCTGAAGATTCAGAGAGTTACCACAGAACAGGCAGATGGTCCAGCAGAGCTCCAGGCATCCTCTGATGCTTTTAAAAGGCGCTTGTTTTTCTATGTGATATCAGCCTTCCCTCTTTTCATTCACCCTCTATTTGTTTTCAGAAAGAAGAGCCCAAAGTGGGAATTCAGCCTTCTGTGTGTGTGGAAAATAAGACAAAACCAGTTGTTCCCAACAAAATAGGTGAGTGTGAGGTGGTTCTTGGGTTCGTCCATTTAGCAATGAGGGCTCATGAACCTTCCTTCAAGGGAAAAGCACCTTTGGGTCCCAAGAGAGTGACTGCTGTCAGGGGTTTGTGCAGTTTCCCTTCCCTGGGGATGTCTCTCTAGCACAAGGACCGTTAGTTCTACTTGGGAAACCACTGGGTTCCTTGGATACTCCAACAATCCCAGTGGAGGAGGCACACTGGCTGCCGGCTCATGATGCTTTCCAGGGAGCTTAACTGCCGGTCAGGTTTTATTACGACCTCACTTAGGCCGGGTGTGGTGGTTCATACCTCTAATCCCAGCACTTTGGGAGGTCAGAGCAGGAGGATCTCTTGAGGCCAGGAGTTTGAGACCAGCCTGGGAAACATAATAAGACCCTATCTCTACAAACAATTTTTTAAAAATAGCCAGGTATGGTGGTACACACCTGTAGTCCCAGCTACATGGGAGGCTGAGGGGGGAGGATGGCTTGAGCCTGGGAGTTTAAGGCTGCAGTGAACTGTGATTGCACCACTGCATTCCAGCCTGGACAACTCTGTCTCTGAAAAAAACCCAAAAATTAATAAATAAACAATAATAAAATTTAAAGACCTGACCCTGCTCTTCTCCAAAGGCCCCACATAGACACTGATAATGTAATTTGTCTTCTCTTCCTTTGTGTAAAAAGTATCAAATGGGGTAATTTGTGGCTCTTCCCATGAAAGGTGTTGCATTGTTGGTGAAGCAGAGGATTAAATTAATTGCCCTGATCTATATTTCCCCTGTTGTTTTATTGTTTTGGATATTTTATGATTAACACAAGGACTTTGTGTTCTTGATCAGAAATCAATGGACTGAACACTTGCCAGGAAGTTAATGGTGTGGGGCACACTGCTCCAGAAACTTTTCCCCGTGACATTTTCTCTAATGGGCTTAAACCAGTTGGGGGACTTGTTCATCTGGATGCCTTTGATGGGAAATCAAACAGTCTGGATGATTCAACTGAAGAAGTTCAGTCTATGGATGTGAGGTATATCTATTTTCTTTTGCATTTAAGCCTCATCTCTTCAAATACCAGGCTTTTAGTTGGTTTCCTCATGTTTTATACAGCCAGGTCACCTAAAGCAGGTTGGTTGACATCACAGAAAAGCTCTCAGTGGTATAACACCAGTGTCTTGGGTTGGGTTCCCTAGAAGCAGAGCCTGGAACTGAGTTTCCAGAGCATGTGATTTATTAGGGGAAAACTCTCAGGAGTTTTCCAGGAGAAAGGGGGAGAAGGGAACTGGCTAAGCAAGGATGTCTTCTCAGCTGATCCCACAGGAGCTCTGAAGGATGAATTTCCACCAGAGATAGCACCTCTGAGCTTCTGCAATTCAACTGGTTTTCTAGAGTCTTCTTTAAGATCTCATCAGAGAAGAAAAGAAGAACCTGGCAACAGCCTTACTCTGGCTGTTGCAAGACTCCTAGGACAGACCCTCAGCCTACCATTCTTCTGAGCTTGAGTTTGCTTGTTTTCTAGGCCTACTGCTAACACAACAATGAAACTCCTATCTCTAGGGAAAGGAGGAAGAGAGAAAAAAAAACTAGGCTTGGCTGGGTGGGAGCTGATAAATCAGGGTGGATTGGAAGCCTTACTTCATAGAGGAAGGCAGTGGGTGAGATTGACTCTGCAGGTGACTAGGTGGGAGGTGGTGGGGGTCCTTTAATGATGATCTCCTCCACCTTGACTGAGCATTTACTTCAGGCAACTCCACATGAACTCTTCCTAGCTTGATCAGATTCACACTCACAGTTGCCCTGATAGAGAGAAATGGTTGTTCTTCCCATTTTACAGGAGAAGAAACTGAGACCATAAGGAGGAAAAGCAGCCCACCCAAGGTGGCACTGCTAGAATGGCAGCACTAGGAGCCCCAGTATTAATTAGGGTTCTTCCTCAACTGGCTTTGAACTTTTAGCATTTGCTTTCTGTTTGAGTGTCCTATTTTGAAAATTCTGGAAGTACCTTTGTAGTAGAGTGCTGGTGCCTGTGGCATTTTTCTCTTTTGTCCTTTGGGCAACGTGAGCTTGGCCATCACAGCCCTACTCAGTCTGCTTCCCTATTCTCATCTACAGGGCCCTTATGTCCGCTGTCTCTTTTTCCCAGATGTGAACCCACTTGCATTTTTTACAGTGTGTTACACAAAAACTCTGACTCAAAATCCATCTTCTCTAGAAAAGGGCTACAGCAAAATATTGCAGATAGAATTAATATGTTGTGCTTTGTTTGTTCTTTCTCCCCTCTCCCCTCTCTCCCTCCACCGCCCTCTCTTCCTCTCTCCCTTCCCCTTCCCACTTCTCTCTCTCTTACATGTCTCTTCCAGTCCTGTTTCAAAAGAAGAGCTTATCTCCATCCCAGAATTTTCACCAGTGAGTGAAATGATTCCTGGAGTGTCTCTGGACCAAAATGGAACTGGTAATGCCCGAGCACTCCAAGATCTCTTAGATTTCACTGGTCCCCCCACATTCCCCAAGAGGTCCAGTGAAAATCTCAGCCTGGATGACTGTAACAAAAATCTTATCGAAGGATTTAACAGTCCTGGCCAAGAAACTACTCTGAACACCTTCTGTTGACAAATACAGTATCCCTTTAATGAAAGGTACAGTCTTTTGACGATATTGTAAATTCATAACTCTTTAACTGGGATTTGTGAAGATAGGATATACATCACTCAGCCTCCTGGATGGTCAATTTTGTTTGAAAAATGCAAGCACGAATATATTATGGCATATACTGTGGCACACACAAGAAATGAGATGGAATCCAAGTCATTCCTTCATATGTGAGCCTTCAGCGCCATGCCCTGCCCTGTCCTGCCCCTGCTGTTTGGGGTATGTGGATGGGAAGGTTCAGAAGCACTAGTTAAAGGTTTGACCTCTGATCCAGCCTGAGTAGCACCTTTTTAGAAGCAGAGAGAGAATGCTCTAATAGTGTTGCAAGGTGATATTAGTAAAATGAATTCCCACCCTCTAGTTTTACTCAGTGACATCTCACATGCTATCTAGAATTATTCACATACCTTGTGAGTGTTGGGCCAAATGATTTGCTGTTCTCTTGACACATTCTGGAGTCTTCCACAGCAGACATCTGTTCTTGGATTATATCTGAGAGAGAGAAGAAGTGCACTTTGTGTTCTAAAGGTTTTTCCTCCACCTCTGGCCTTTTTCTTGCTAAAAAGCTTCTAAAAGCCATTGTCATTTGAGTAAGAATATCTATGGGTTATATACACTCTGCAGTTATGTGCACTTAGTTATATATACCTCACATTTTATTTCAGTATGGGGCTTGTTTTAGAATAACAAAAACTTAATTAGATCCTGTCATGAAATCCTTTCATAACTTAATACAATCTCTCCTTCCATTTTAGACTCTTAAAAGCATTTTTATATTCTCAGCATTCTCCTAGCCACTTCAGTTTTTTCACGATGTTCTACTCCTATGACAAAAGTTTGATGACTGAAATGGTTTAGCCCAGCCTTTTTATTTCTTAAATGAGGAAACAGGTTGGAGAGGCTACACAACCAAGGTCCCTGTGATCCGTATACTTAGCTGACCTCAGCTCTTGCTTATAGACAATGAGTTTGAAAGTCCACTACTCTGGGTTTTTGGGTGCATGACAGATCACTTTTAGAGTAAACTAGATCCCTGGTTTGGAAGAGCAGCTATCTTTTTGGATACTCTATTTCCCTGACGGTGACATGGCTTCATATTTATTATTCTTTTGTCATTAGCATACCTTGGCTGACTTGGCTTCCTCTCAGTTCACTTACCTCACTAGCCAGTAAGGACCAGAAAATTCACAAAACTTTTAAGAATATTCATAGATCCTCAAATTTATTTCTTACATCTCTGACTAAAAGAAGTGCAAAATTCCTGCCCAAAAAGAAAAAAAAAATCTTGACTAAATAATTTTATTCACACTGCTTATATATTTTTATTTGTGATATGGTCTGCTTCTCAAATTCTTCTCAACCAAAGGCGGTACCACCCCCACAAGGGGGTTTTTGGAAATGTGTTGGTGATTTTGTTGTTACCTGCAAGTTTTAGGAAAGTCTCACACAAGGAAAATTTGACCCACCTAAAAGAATAGTCCTATGCAAAATACGGTAGCACTTCTGTTGAGAAATGCTCAAATATTTTCCTTGTATAAGCCAAGGAAAATATAATTGCCAAGATGGTAGAAAGTACCACACTATGTGATCATCTTAGAATAGATACTGCAAACTGCAAAATGCTTGTGTTTTTCATTGGTCTTGCCTGGTTTTGTTTTGGAATTTACACAGGTGGTGTTTGGAGAACATGTGAAGCTACTGGTAGTCAAATCTGAGCTGCCAGCCATCTGAAGAAGCTTCTGTCACCCTTAACTGCTGGATTCCAAATTATTAGCTTGGAATGTAACTGTATTCCTAGGTAGTATGTCAAACACTGGCCACTCTTGGTAGAAACCTTGAGACTTTTGCCTTGTTGGGCTTTAGCAAAGTTTCAGTTTACAGTTCTATTTATGAGCTTCAGCTGCTGATAAAGAACTTCCTGTACTTCTCTATTATCATAGTGACCCTGTGAATAACCTGAGCGACTCTGACTCAGGAATTCACTTTATAACCGTTCTTATACTCAAAGTTGGAGCACACAAACATTTAGATGTCTTGTAAACTATTCAGACATTTATCCAAACTCTAGTTAAACATATACTCAACTTAGACTGTGTATCTCCTTGTCTTTATTGAGAAAGAGGAGAAATTCAGGATGTTCCTCCACTCCAGGGTTTCTCTGTTGGAAGGTACTATCAAGAAGTCTTTTTATGTTATTAAGCTTTGCCACCTGCAAAATGCATTGCCCACATTACTCTTTTGGGGTTAAAGTAGTAAGTTTGGTGGCATAAGGAAGTAAAAACTGTGTAACAATTTCTGTTCTTTTATGCATATTCTTGTATACATGGGCAACTGAATCTAGCAACGACCTTTTCCTGTCACACCTTAAAATCTCCAAACTGTAGTCTCTCCAAACCATCGAGTGGCTTTCCAACTGAATGACTCCTGTGTCTTGTGTGCAGACAGTTGGTTTTCATGTTCCTACTATTGTTTTTCTATAGGATCTTGGGAGTTTTCTTTGTTTGCCCCAGTTGCTCAACTTTAATAAAACCAAGCACAAATGAAAATCATAATGCTCGGAAATAATGGGTCCTGAATTGGACCCAGTATGTCACTTTAATAGACTTTAACATAAAAAACATCTGAGTGGGGAAAAATGACACACTAGAATGTATATCCACACATTTTATGTCATATGATGGTGTGTTTTCTTAATTTTGTTTCTTGTGAAATGTGACTTTCAGATTAAAATGACCTTTTCTTTTAAACTTTTTGCTTTGACTTGTACAATTAAGAATTTAGAAAGATCCATAATTCTAAGAGAGGCTTGCCACCAGGAGGTATAAAGAAGTCTCAATAGTAATCTTATTATGTGCTTCTAAAGCCAGCTGCAGTTTAAGAATTTATTAGTTATGGAAACTGTGTATGTTTGTGTATGTGTATATACTAAATAAAATATATGCCTCCAAATAATGCAGTACCATTGATCTTGATGAATATCCAGGGGAAAATCCCTTTATGACAAGCACACAGGAGATGATAGCATGGTCTGACTTTCAAAAAATGCCTCGCCATCTTTCTTATAGCTTTATTTTGCTATATCTCTGTTTTGTTGTGATCTGTTGTACCTCACTACACCATTGTGACCATGGTGATACCTCATTTGCATGATGTTTACATTGTGTTTAATGTGAAATACATTTTCATTGAAGAGTCTGATGACTTGCTTTGTTTGTTTCTGTAAGCTCAATGTGCTGAAACCAAACCAGGGTTTTTTAAAATTCATGTAGGGAAAAAAAAAACCCAAATCCTTGCATGGGTGTCCTTTCCCTGTCAAACTCATAAGAAATTCCTCTGTTGCCAGGCCAAGGGGAGCCAACTGTGTAAATAAGTTTATTAAGTGATGGACTATCCCTAGAACATGATGAATTTCTGAGTACAGTAAAGTAGCTGCAGTTTCATGATGCAAGGGATTTGCAACCAGCTAAGACACAGTTAACCTTTACTATAATCTATAAGAACATTCACGTAGCAATTTGGTATTTAAACAAAATTATAATGGGAATGTTGACCCTTATTTTCAACTAAGCTGAAAACCAGACCAGTTTTTTTCATATCTAACTCACAGGCTTGCCCACTGCCTGGGAGACAGTACCAGGCCAGACCAGGATCCAGGAGGGCAAGACTGGAATTAGGAACCCTTGTGATCACTTCTGGGCTGCCATCTCTGAAGCTGAGGGCCCAGTCATTGCTGCCCTCTCCAGCTCTGCTGGCAAAGCTTCTGGTCAAGGCACAGGAGCAGACATTAACTATTTCTATATGCAGGCCTCTGACAGGGCTGTTGGAAGTAGCTTATGTCACCATGAGCTTTGGTAATAGGGCTTACATTGGTGGCCAGTCATTCTTAAGAACAATTTCTAGTTTATGAACATTGGATTTTTTTTTAGTATGTGCAAGTTTCCTATTAGCCAAATGCTTTTGTAAACTAAATTTAGAAGGTAAACATAAAGACAATTTATCTTAGAGCTACACTCATTAAATTGTGGCACAGCACAAGGTGACCTCCATACCCATTCCTCAGCGTTGTCCAGAAAGCACGTTTAGTAAGTAAATGAAGCAAGAACTCTTGGAAACATTACAAACAAGAAACCTTTACAAAAACTTCTTTTGGGAAACCCAGGAGAAACAACTGAAAAACTCTTAGAGTGATTTCATAGGAGGCCAATTATCCGAGAAAAATCAATACTTTTCTTACATATTAGCAACAAATAAGAAATAGGTCCATCAAAAGTCATAAAGGTCCCAGAAATAAACTACAGCTAAAATTTGATGGAGGAATATAAGCCCTGAGATGACGGGAAAGACACACCATGCACTGAATGGGAAAACCCATACCTGTGAAGAAGGCGCATGTTAGGCAGCAGACACGTTTGTTACAGTCAATGGGATCTCTTTCTGGCAACTTGAAAATAAAACTATGCAGTTCATATAAGGAAATGAACACAAAGCTAAGAAACTCAGGAATTTTTAAAGAGGAAGCATTTTCCCCAACAAATAGCGAAGTATATGATTAAAATTCCATAACTTTAACAGTGTATTCTGACAGAAATACAAGGAGAGACCCCAAAAAAACGAATTATCTTTTGGAGGGCAGGCCTCTTGTGGTACACTCAGAATTTGTTCCTCTGGATCAAACGGTCAACCAAAGTTTTTATCTGGAAGTTTTGAAAAGGTTACATCACGGTTTGTGGAAGAAACAGCCCAAATTGTGGCAAACAGGTGACTGGTTCTTCCACCTTGACAATGTACCTGCCCACACAGCACTGAGTGTTCGGCAGTTTTTGACCAAAAATGGCATGACCCCCATGCCCCACCCTCCCTGTTCACCTGATCTTGCCCCGAGTGACTTTTTTACCCCCTGGATGAAAAAAGTCCTTAAGGGGAAACATTTCGCCGATGTGGAAGAAGTGAAACAAAAAATGGCAGAAACACTAAAAGGCATTAAAATTGATGAGTTCAAAAACTTTTAAGCAGTGGAAAAATCATCTCGATAGGTGTATTGCATCAAATGAAGAGTCCTTTGAAGGTGACTGAAGTTTAAACATGTAAGAATAAACACAATTTTAATAAATAAATTCAGGGTCTTTTGGGTCCCCCTTCATAGACTTTGGAATAGCAATAGACATCAGAAATACCCAGGATACATAAAAAATGAATGTAGGATGAGGCTGGAGGTGGGCTATTTGTATCTGTACAGAGGTAACAAGCCTCCTAAGTGTTAACTGAGTTTAACATCTCTGACAGGTAGGGTAAGGGCCCAGAAGTCACAGTAAGGGAATGGAAAAGATAGCAGTGGGATCCAAGGTGTGGGCACCAACTATGGTTCAAGGTTGAAGTCGGGGACAAATTTAGACTAAGTCTTGAGAGCAGCCTCTATAGATCCTGAGCTACCAAGCATCAGTGGGACTGGTGGGGAGCAGTAGGCCTCTGCTCTTGGTGCTCTCAGCTCCTGCAGGAGTGGAGCACAATGACAGCAGCATGCATTGAGTTCCTGCGTCCATGAGGTGGCTCAAAGACTTCTTCATGCTATGAGGTAGCCATGAGAGGGTAACTTTCCCAAGGACACACAGCAGGAACTTGACAGCTAGGTGGGACTCCAGGGCACCAGCTTTAGTACCACCAGGGGAGGTTGACAGGCTGTTCTGCCCCCAAGAGCAGCAAACATGTTTTGCTAGAGGGAGGGTGGGGCAAAAAAAAGTTTGCCTAGAGCAGGTGCTTATAAAACGAGTGGCAAAGAGCCAGGAGCCCCGTGGGGAATCCTAGTTCTGAATGTGCTTTTTAAAAATTATTGAGGGGCCAGGCTGGACGGCTCAGACTGCAATCCTAGCACTTTGGGAGGCCAAGGCGAGTGGATTGCCTGAACCCGCAGGTTCGAGACCCACTCGGGCAACTTGGCAAGACCTTGTCTCTTTACAGTAAAAAATTAGCCGGGTGTGGTAGCGCACGCCTGTAGTTCCAGCTATTTGGAAGGCAGAGGCAGAAGGATCGCCGGAGCCCAGCAGGTCGAGGCTGTGGTGGCCAGGAGCGGCCACTGCACTCCAGTCTGGGTAACAGTGAGACTCCAACTCAAAAAAAAAAATGTTGTTGAGGGCCGGGCGTAGTGGTTCATGCCTATAATCCCACCATCTCTTCAAAAAAAAATTAGCTAGGTGTGGTGGTGTGGACCTGTAGTCCCAGGAGGTCGAGGCAGGGGGATCTCTTGAGCACAGGAGTCAAGTCTGCAGTAATCTATGATCACACCACTGCACTCCAGCCTGGGTGACCAACAGAGACCCTGTCACTAAAAAATATATACCAGCAGTGCCAAAAAATGTATACACTTTTTTTTCTTGACTTGGAGTCTCACTCTGTTGCCCAGGCTCTGGTGCGTAGCACATTCACCACCACCCCAGCTCTTCCTGTTGGGCTCCAGCAATCCTTCCACCTCAGCCTTCCAAGTAGCCGGAACTACAGTTGTATGCTACCATGCCCAGCTAATTTTTGACTTATTGTAGAGACAAGGTCTCGCCAAGTTGCCCGGGCTGGTCTCCAGCCGTGAGTTCAGGCAATCCACTCGCCTTGGCCTCCCAAGGTGCTGGGATTACAGACTGAGCCACCGAGCCCAGTCTGTTTTTAAGAAAACATTTTAAGAAATGTTATCTATGTATTACTTTTCGAAGTTGAATTGAATTGTGGTAGCAATGTGTAGTATGATATCGCTCAACGTGTTTCCGCCATTTTGTTTGACTTCTGCCTGTCCCATGATGACGCTAACATTCATTTGATTAGCACCATCTTTTGAGCGAATGTCATACTTAAAATTCGTGTATGTTTTTGGCGCCCCCTGTATGTATTATTGATATATAATTTACAGACCATAAGATTCATTCTTTTTAAGGTACACAATTCAGCCAGGCATGGTGGCTCATGCCTGTAATTCCAGCACTTTGGAAGACCAAGGCAGGAGAATTGCTTGAGGCCAGGAGTTCAAGACTAGCCTGGGGATCATAGTGAAATTCTGTCTTTACGAAAAATTTAAAAAAAAAACTTTAGTGTGGTGTGGTGGTGAGCGCTTGTAGTCCCAGCTACTTGGGAGACTGAGATAGAAGAATTGCTTGAGTACAGGAGTTTGAAACTGCAGTGAGCTATGATCATGCCATTGCACTCCAGCCTGGGGACAGTAAGTCTCAAAAAATATCCATATGTACACACATACACATGCACACACATGTATATAATTTACAGACCATAAAAGTCATCCTTTTAAAGTACACAATTCAGTGTTCCATGGTCTTTAGTATATTCCACTAATTCTAGAACATTTTCATCTGAATATGCTTTTTCAAGGGTTTGTTATCCATTCATCTACTCAAAGCAGTAGAGCTTGGTTTAATCAATCATTAGTTCAAATTCTCATTGTACCTGAAAACAAGAACAGGGTATTTGAAAATAGTATTATTATTCTTTGAAGTACTCACTTACCCTTCTCCCGTTCCAGTAGGTCAAATTAGGGTGGTGTTTATGTAACAATTAATGTGGGCTGCTTCTTCTTGTTCCACATTCGCTACATAAATATGGGATCAAATGCCAAACACGGGTTCACATAAAGTAACTTCTTTTTAGAATTTTAGCCAGCATGGGCCTCCTAGGTTGATGGAAGACGTGGATTTGATGAAGCTGTATTTTAAAACACTTTGAAAATCCTGAACTTTGGACAAATGCCTTTAACAGTGCCCACGGAATCGGGCACACTTGCCCGTGTGTTTCTGGGACAGATCGTCCATGTTAACACTAGGGAGAGAGTGTTTCAGTGCCCATTTCCTATTAGGGTCCAGGCCAGTGCCCAAGATAATGGGCACTCATGGCACTGTGGAAAGAAATGATCTTCTATTGCCCAGAGCCTGAGGGCCACCTTATGAAAGGCAGAGGGAGCCGAAAGCTTCAGGTGTTGCACCTAGGGAATTCACTCTCCTTCCCGTTTCTTCATGCTCTGCAGTAAATAAGAACCTCCTGCCAAGGCTTCTATGCTGCAGTTAAGAAATGCCTGGCCAGGTATGGTGGCTCATGCCTGTCATCCCGGCACTTTGGGAGGTCAAAGCAGGGATTGCTTGCGGCCAGGAATTTGAGACCAGCCTGGGCAACATAGCAAGACCCTGTCTCCATAAAATAAAATAAAA